AGCGTTGTTAACTCCAGGATAGATATCTTGGTATCCTATTTTAAAGTTTTTTCCTTAAATTTCTATTAATACTGAGAAATCATGAAGTAAAAAAGGTTGGTGGGTTTTTTTGGTCTGGTAACTTTATTCTGTAGAAAATCATTGTTTTGTACATTATAGATAATTTTCTGAGATAATTAGTAATATTCGGTGGGAATTTAAGCTTTTGAGCATGCATGTAGTGGTATTCTTTCCCCTTTTGAACTTCTGAAAAAACCCTGTCAATTGCCTATCTTCTCAGTTTCATTTAAGAGGCTGGAAGAAAGAAGGTGGGAATTTATTTGTTCATTGTAAAATACACCAAGTTTGGATGCCTCCTATGAGAGAGAATAGCAGACTGTCCAGATTTTACACCATCTACAGCACTTTTTCTGCAGCATGGTGAGCATTAATTTAGGATCCGTCCTTGAACTGGCTGACTGCAGGCTGTTTCTGCCCAGAATCCCAGAAAGGAAATGGAGATTTACAGGGACAAGAAGATATTCCATTTTGAATTGTAACGCTAACGAATTGTAACGCTAACAGGTTAGCTTCTTTTGATTAAAACTCAAGTTGTGAAGTACTGGTGTGGGGTGTTTTGCTTGTTGGTTTTTTTTTTTGGTTGTTTTTGGGTTTTTTTTGTTTTGTTTTTGTGGGTTTTTTTTTGGTTTTGTTAAGCACTATTTAAGGAGAGGGTAGGTGTATTTTTCAGCCAGGCTTGATTATGAGCTAAATTGTGTTTTAAATGCAAACACAATGCATACTCTTTAAGTCTAACCCGTGGTTCCCTGTTACAGATCCTGCAGTGACGGATGTAGTTAAGAGGTTCATGCTCCTCTTTGTAGGGGGATACTGTTGCTCAGCTGTGCCAATTTTCAAAGGTACATGAAGCCACACTTTTTAATAAGAACAAGATAATAAAGATTGTATTTAAAACTGTGTGATGTGTGGGTTCGTTTAGACGCATAATTTCACAAATCTGCTTCAGTGTATGGCCAGAGCTGAAGGGGTGCGCACCTCCAGTGAGAGCCAAAGAAGGGTGGCAAGGAGCAGGGTGGAGCCTTATAAAAATGGGTGCAAGTGGAATTGCAGCATGTAGCCGCAGTCTCTCTCTTGTACGGACTAGTTGCACAGGATTTACAAGCATTATTTCTGCCACACTTAGGGCTTTGTAACCGAAGGAAGGGGATCTCCAGTAAGGAACTGTGAATACAAAGTACTGAGAAAATACTTTAAATGAGAATATGGAAGAATAGCAATTGTTCCTGTTGGCCAGGTCATTAAACACTGCCTTTCGAATTTATCTTCTAAACTTCTGTAGTTAATTTAGATCCTAGAAGGCAAAGATAATACAGGCACCCTGGAAAGGGATGGAGGGGGGAAAAAAGACCTGGTAAGTGCTTCAGCACCCCACAGCCAAGGACTAATTATTAGAAGCCTGGCAACCTGCTGAGCGCTCTCCTGGGGCTCCCAGGGGGCTGGAGGGACAGGCTGCTCCCTGGGTAGCCAGGCTCAAGTGAGAGCCCAGATTGCCAGCGAGTTCCTGGTGAGGAGGCAGGTCTGAGAATGGGTCAAGCACTCAAATCAGCGAGTGGGAGGCCAGATCAGTGGGGTGCGTGGCCAGGCATGGGCCAGGCTCCAGCGTAGCCCAGGCAAAGAGTCTGAGGCTTCTTACAGCTTTCTTGCACATATCTTCACTGCAGTCTGAACCCAGATTAGAGAGCTGCATTGTACTGGGGAAGGACCTGTGGGCCCATCTCTATGGAAGGAGACACAGGCTCCAGAGAAGAGTGGAAGAGTGGCAGCAGAACAGTTGGTCAAGCAGATATTAGCCCAAATGATCTGGAACAGAGGAGTGGGGTTTTCTTTAACCGTGAGCTAGTGAGATGGAAACTGCAAACTGCATTCAGTCCCAAGTTACAAAGCAAAATTCTCTCTTGATGGCAGGACAGTCTAATACATGAGGAATGCAGGACAGAATTGCTTTTTCGTCTAGTCCTCATCATCCATGTTTCTCTGAGAATATTACTTGCAGTGACTTTTAGCCAGACTTGTCAGAGCAGCTTGCTTAGGACCATTACCTTTGCAGGGAGTAGACAAGGACACATCTGCGTGACAAAACATTTGTGGTTTGCTCACGGTGTGATTTTTCTGCTCCTTGACGTGCTTACCCTAGTACATAACTAGTGTTAGAGCTCTGCTAGGGCATCAGGTGCTGTGGAAGGGCAGACTGGTGTACTGTGATTTTGATTCTTTAAACAAGATCTTCTCTAAAGCTAGTCCTCAGTGATTATAATAACTAGCTTGTTCCCCTGGCAAAATAGGATTATGGCACAGAGATCAGATTGTATTAAATAAGTTAATCTATTTCTGTTTGAAGAAACTAGTGTTGGAAAACGGTATTGTTTTCTGTATTTTTCCTGTGATCTTTCCTGGGTGAAATTATTTGTCTTAGTAATACATGTCACCTTGCATTAATTCTGTCTGAGGGCTGTAATCTGTAAAGTCATGAAAATATTACTTACAAAATCAAGACATTTATATAAAAATATTTTTTACAATATAAAGGCAATACTGATTCTTCCTCAAAAATATATAGCAGTGTTACCTTTAAGGTGAAGCGCTGGAAATGCAGGAGTTTCAGTCACTGACTATATACAAAGTTAAGTATGGGTGACGCATTGACTATTGTCCCATCCATTTTTCAGTTCAGTCCTGGCAGAACATCTGTCATCAGCAAGACTGTGGTGCAATTTCAGTGTTTGTTCAATCTTTGATTTGTTTTTAAGATGTAGTATTGCCAACATGCGTACTAGTATTGACGATAAAACCGGACTGAAGTTACTGAAATTTGTTCAGTCTAAAACATGGAATGTTTTATCAGACCGTCTGAACTTTTCGCTGTTACGTTAGGTTGGATTGTGGCTTTTTACCCTATGACTTACTCAGAACCTTTTTTCTTTGGCCAAGCAACAACTTGGCACCCAATAACTGACTGCCTCTCCCTGAGTGGTAAGTCAGCATAGTGCAGAAGTTGCAATGTTGCTAGTTTTTGTCATTTTGCTACAGATTGAGCAATGTTGTGTATCAATAGTTTGTACATCCATGGCAGCAGCTAAGGTTTTTGACTGAGGACCTCAGCTTTCTTAGACAGTAAGTTTCTAACCTTGGCCGCAGAAAAGTTTGAAAACATGCACTGAATGTGTTCAAAAGACATAGTATCTAGAGACAAATGCATATAAATCATTGTATTTTTTTTAAAAAAAATAGAATTGTGAAGACAGACCCATGACCTTTGAACACTTGTGGCTGACAATGCTGGTGTGTAGGCGTCTTAACCTTTCTGCTGGCTTTCACACGCATGCCATTTCTACTGAGTTAGAGATCTATGTGGTTTTGGTTACAAAAGCTTTTCCACTGTGATTAGCTTTCCTTTTGGTCTGATTTAAGCTTGCTTATGTTCATTTATGACATAAACATATTCCGTTCCTCCTCAACTTAAAACCTCTTTTTGAAATATCCTTAACAACTTCCTCTTTTTAAGTTCTGTTTTAGACATTATCAAATGTGGTTCTGTGCTTAAGTCCTGTGATGTTTGTCTTAAGTGTTTAATTGTGATTTTTTTAAAAATATGCCTCTGCATAGTGCAGAGATGAGGTCTAAAATTTTCATCATTAGAACTCTGTTAGGAGCGGCGTGAGAGTTGGCAGAGTTTCGACTCCAAGCAGTTTAAAAACACGGGTTTCATGTTGCAGTCTCTGTAACCTAGACTTCGTGGGACTCTTTGTCACTATTAATGTTTGCGCTTGTCAAACGGAACAGAACAGAATAGGAGAGGAGGCTGTAAGCACCTAAAAAAGTAGGTCAATGGGCCAGCAGGTTATTTGGCCAGAAAAGAACGAGTGGCTTCATTGAATCATGCTGTAATTGTTTTTCTCTTGTTGGCAGATTGTTCTGCTGTGCTTTAACTTCCTATGTTAATATTTGCATCTGTATTTTAACCACTTGAGAGCCTCTGTTAGGTGCAGGGGAAGGAGAAACGTAACTTTTCTAATCAAATAAGAGATAATTCTGGTATCTTCTGTAAAATTCATTAATTAATTGAAGAGTAGCATAAGCTTAGTTTTTACATCCCAGCTTCCTTTTTAGAAGGAATTTTTTTGGAAGTGGTACAATACACTGTCTGGTGAATACATTTTATTGTAAGAACAGTAAGCAAGGCAGATAGAGATGGGATAAAGATGAGAGAAAAACTGATTTCATGTAGCTTAAAAATGTGGAAAATAGCATGGTTCAAGGGAAGGAACTATAAATGAAATGTAATGATATAAAGAGACTGGAAGTTGGTGGTCACTTACACTGGTGCTGAGGGTTTTTCTTTTTTATGGAAGAAGTGCATTTATGAGGTAAGCTTGCCATACATTCTTGAAAGTGTTTTTGAAGTGGGTTTTGAAAGAGGAGGTTAATGGCTGTGTCTGAGGGAGTAGCAATAATGCAGCTGGGCAACTTTGCTGGTTGCCAGCAGCAGCATTCTACACGTTCTGGAGTCCTGAGAGGCAATTTTGGAGACTTGGAGAGAAGACATAACTGAGAAAGTCAGGAGAGGCCCAACTAAAAGTTTCAACAGGAAAAGTGTTTAAATAATGGTATAAAGATATACTTTGAAGGTAGCAAGTGGAAGTGAAAATGTAGATGGTGTGGATGATACCAAATTCAAAAGTAAAGATGACATCAAGTTAAAGATAGGCATAAAGTGATAGCTGAAAGCAGAGAAGAAATTATGTCAGAATATCCTGCTTATCAAGGAGAAGAACTTTAAAGCGAGGTGAATTCAAATAGTGAAACACTTGGGATATTTTTGATAAGCAGATTATTGAGTTTATAAATTACTCTTGTTGGAATGATTACTTCTCTTTTAGTAAAAAAAAAAAAAGTGATCATTTTAAAACTCACTGATTTTAAAACTCTTATTTTTTTACAGCTCAGAATGTAATGCTTTTCTGCAGAAGAGGATACATGTAATTACACATTGTTCTTCAAAGGAACCAGGTTTCATCCCTAAACCTCACACTTTAACAAGTCCCGAAGTGTAAAAGGTAAAATTAATTGTATTCTTATAATTAATAAGGTTCCTATGGCTTTCAGCTATCAACACTGAAGATCTGAGTAGCAGTGTTAAGTACTATCTTTTGTTCTCCAGAACACGACTGAATTTGAATCTTAGAAATAGGCATAGTCCTTGATTTGTGTAGTGTTTGCTTTAAACTTGACTAGTTTCATTGGAATTTTCTCTGCAGTCTTACCCATTGGCATGTATAAGCGCTGAGAATGTTCAGCACCTTGCAAATTTTGATGCAAAGACAGAAGGGCCAGACCTTGAAAAGTGAGGAAAAAAATGCACTACAGGTGCACTTCCTCTAGTCTTTAAGTTCTTTTAACTATTTGTCTTGGATACCAAATCGCAAGTTGCCAGTTCTGACATGGGATCTGTATACTGTAACAAGTGAATGATTTTGTTGAATTCTAGAAATGGAGTGCTTTGTTAAAGTGAAAATATTTTCTTCTAAATTCTGATTCTGTGCAAAGAAGATGTCAGTTATGTCACAGATGAAAGTTTTCTGTATTGAGCTGTACATGTATTTTTCTTTTGCAGCTTAAGGGAACAATATATCATTTGTCCTACAGAATTTCATATTACTCCTGATCCCCATAATGTTAGGTACCAAATTCATTTAAAAATTAACACAGAGCTAAAAATGTGATTAGTGCATACCTGTATTAGTGCATGCTATGTAGGCTAAATGAAAAGAAGTTTTTAATTGGTATATTGCTTTGAAACTTAATTCCATGCCAGTGATGGTAGTTCGCTTCTACTGCTGAACAACCTGTCTGTTGTTGCGTGCTTTTGACAAAAACTCAAACACTTCTTCGTAATTTATTTTCCTTGTGCCGTTTCTGGCTGGTTTTCAAATAGTGCAACTCCACTGCTTTATAAAACTTGGCCAGCTAATTTGGGGAATTGAATTTGTCAGTGTGGCCAATGAAATTGTTATTTTAAAGAAACAGAGTGAAGGAATGATTTGCTTCCAGTATGTCTTCAGAGCACTAGATTTTGGAGAATAAAGGCAAGATGAAGTTGGGCTGTATTAATTGAAGAAGTGAGTAAGAGGGCTCATGGGGTGTTTGGGCAAAACTGCATGCACACCTTGTAATGCACCTTGGACGAGATTGTGCTGCAGCATAGCTCTCCCATTTACTTTCCTGCTGCGCTCAAGTTACGAAACTTTGTGGGGGAAGATACTAGTCTTGTGAAGCAAACCTGCTTAGTATGTGGCTGTTCTAGACTCTGAGACAGACTGGTTGAAACATGAGCTTTCTTCCTCAGTTTCCCCATATATTAAAAAACTGGGATAATATTTTCCTGGAGCATTTTGTACGCTGTCTGGATGATGGAGTTGCTGCCATATTTCTTGTGGTATTAACACTGCAAGTTCCACTGGGTTTGGCACTCTCAAACAAACAAATCCTTCCTTCTCAGAAACTCTGAGTCACTAAAGTGACTAAAACCAGCTCCTTTGAAATAAACGCAATGCCTTTTTACTGTTAAGTTTGTAACATAGTAAAAATTCCCAAAGATCTGCAAGTTCAGTTTATATAAAACTTCTTGCTGTATGCAGTTGTTCCTTAATCACTGACAGTGTTACAATCTTGCTACTCCACTTGAGCACTCTCTGACAACTGACTTTTTGGTATCAAAGAAAAAGGTTTGACTATTGGTTTATGTTGGACTTTCAGCCTTTCCATAACCTGTGAAATTTTGTAATTTTGAGGTAACTAGAAGTAGGTACTTGTTGAATTAAATACTTATTTTAATTTTATAGTCCTTCTCTCACTATTAATATTTCATTCACATTCTTTATTCAAAATCTTATGTACAGCTGGAAAACCAAAAACTTCCTGTTGAAACTTTGTAACGAATAAGTGACTGCTTTAAGAAATGACCAGGTTAACTAACTTTCTCACAGTATGGAGATCACATTCTAATAGGTATCTTCTTGTTATAATAGACATGTGAAATGATAACAATGTGCTCAAGAAAAAAATATAGTGAGAAATAAATTATAGGTGCAAAATACTGTATCCCAAATGCTTTCTGTTTGCACAATTTCTAAATAGAATGTATTACTACTGAGGAGTATATTTTACATCTGTTCAACCTTCAAGATTATGAGAGCCTTTTAGGTAAAAGTTAAAATAAAATTGAAAAGCTATATCTGAATTCAGAGGCAGAAAAAGGTTTGTAGTGGTTTAGTCTAGACTTAGCTATTGTGACATTTAATAAAACTATTCTCTTGAACTCTTTGCGTGTAAAATGAGATACTGAAGTCCAGGTTATGATGATAATGAAGACAGCATTAGAGGAGGCAAGAGGGCAGAGCAGAAGGTTGGAAGAGAGGGGAAGATGTAAGAGCAGCTTATAGAGCAAATGAAAACTTCATTATACTCTAATGAAGAACATTTTTGTTCCTCCAGAGTCACATTTTGATGCTTTTCTTCTCTTATAGGCAAACGTACAAATGTCTACCACAAGACTAAAGTGTGATATGTTATGTTTTTTACCATAAGCACCCATAAAATGAGCTCCATTGCAGACAGGTATGTTAATAGATACTGAGAGTTTTGGGGAAATTACTGTTCAATGCTTTCTTTAATAATCTTTTTCTTATGGTTTATATACAGAGAATATTAATTTATGCAAAAAATAAGAGGAGTGAGTTTTTGACTATTTTTGACAAAGTTATTTTGGTGGTTATTAGATGTATTGTTTTGTAGTGATTGGAAATAGTGATTTTTATTGTTTGAGATTAATCTTAGAATCTATTACTTGTTTTCAGCCATGGAACATACTCTGTGCAAGTTCAGCTGATTTTTAATGTTTACTTGAATTTTTTTTTTAGTACTTCAATATTTGATTAAGGAAAACAAATACATTTAAACGATTAGTGATGCTGCAGATGGTAGTAAAGTGACCTGCTAACCTACTTCAAGGGAAAAGTAATAGCTGAGACATGTTTTCTACTTGATTCCTTGAGCTAGACTTTCTTAGCAGCTTAGGTGAACATCTGTCCTTAATATTCTGTGTATTACCTTTTTTGGGACTTGCATCGAATTTACAGAAAGTTAAACCCGATCAAAATAAATAACAATAAAAGCAAAGGATAAAACTTTCAAAATGCTTGTCTGACTTGCCAGTTCTTTTAGTGAAGTTTTGTGGCATTTCACTGAAACTTCAGCCTTTTGAATATACGAATTCCTTTTAAAAGCTTTATGTTTATGTAGTATAGCGTTCAAAATAATTACTTCCTAACATCACTGCTTATTGTAATGTATGATTGCTTGATGATTTGTCAGTTATAAATCAGAGAGATGAGGTAAGACGGTTGCTTACCTTAAGGGAAGGAAACGGTAGGATAAAAAAATCAAGGATGGACACACAGAGGTCAGTGTGGACAGCACTAAATGGACTGAAAGCAGACAGAAGTTAGAGAAATAAAATATGAAAGTCCATTATACAGCAGTTTTGGAAGACAGAAGAACAGTTTTAACTTGACTTTTAAAACAAAAGGAATTTAAAGAAAAGTGTTATATTAAGTACACTGAGGCATCTTCAAAGGAAAACACGTTCTCATTTTGATATTCTAATACCTGTTTAGCAGTACGTGGACAATTGTCAAGCTGAGAAAAAGTTGTATGGTACTTGGTGAGGAAGCAAGCAGAATGAATAATTACTGTTACTGTTTAACATTGATATTAATTCTATATTTATAAAATTACATATGTGGATGAAGTATAGCATATTCCTCAGCCCTCTTCCATTAATAATGCTTCAATATTTAAGAAAAATGTACTTTCTTACTGTATTTCCAATAATTGGAATAGCAATTGCCAGTAAGTAAAAACAAATTATATATGTCCTCTCTCATGTTTTCAAAAGGGTAAGGTAATGCAAATAATCTGGAAGATAGAAAAATAAAATTAAGTAGTGTTCAATTAAGTGTTTGCATAGGGTTGTAAGTTTTAGTTAGTCTGAAAATCCTTTGAGTTGTGTCAGAAATGTAAGGTTTTTTGCATTCTCTTTAGTAAATGTCCTACAAACAGAACTTGATAGCAGGCTTGGCTTCAGGTTATTGAGGACGGTCCTTGTGAGACATCACAGTAAAACCGTGCTTCAGTTTCTTGATGTAATGGAGATGATGAGTAATGAGCTCC